GCGAGAGCTGCGCCAGCGCCTTGGTCTTGCCGGCCAACGAGGCCAGGCCGGCATCGGTCAGATGGCGCAGGCCAGAGAGATCTAGCGCCGTCAGTCGAGGGCAGTCAGCCGCCAGCGCTGCAGGGGTGGCGTCGGTGAGGCGGACGCAGCCGTCGAGGACCAGCTCGCCCAAACGCGGCGTGTACGACTTGAGCGCGGTGGCGACAGCATCGGATATCTTACGGCAACCGTGGAGATCGAGCTTGGTGAGTGACCCGGCGGCGCGAATGACGTTGCATACGCTCTCGTCCGACACGCTCGCGCAGCCACGGAGAACAAGGCGACGGAGACGGACAGCGCCGCGAGCAGCGAGCGCCGAGAGGCCAGAGTCTGTGATGTTGCGGCATGCGGTAAGATCAAGAGCCGTGAGGTTGGGAAAGGCGTCAACAACGTCAATGAGGCCCGCATCGGTGATCTTGGTGCAGCCAGCGAGCGAGAGTGATGTCAGCTTGTCCGGCTTTGGCTCCCAGCTGACCAGCGAGGAGATGCCCTTGTCGGTAACCCGCGATGCCCAAGCGATGGAGAGCTCAGAGAGGACAGGAAGCGGTGCACGAGCAAGGAATAGGCGATAGAATTCTTTAATTGCCGCCGAGCCTAACGCACATAGCGTCGCGTCGCCAACCCGCGTGCAGCCCGGGATGTGGAGCGAGGTCAGCTTGGGGCTGGCACGGACGAGCGCGGAAAGGCCGTCGTCAGTCACTCCCGCGCACCATCGGAGCGAGAGCTGCGCCAGCGCCTTGGTCTTGCCGGCCAACGAGGCCAGGCCAGCATCGGTCAGATGGCGCAGGCCAGAGAGATCTAGCGCCGTCAGTCGAGGGCAGCCAGCCGCTAGCGCTGCAGGGGTGGCGTCGGTGAGGCGGACGCAGCCGTCGAGGACCAGCTCGCCCAACCGCGGCGTGTACGACTTGAGCGCGGTGGCGACAGCATCGGATATCTTACGGCAACCGTGGAGATCGAGCTTGGTGAGTGACCCGGCGGCGCGAATGACGTTGCATACGCCCTCGTCCGACACG